ACACTTTTACCTAGTGACTAGATAGTTAGGGGCCAACCGTCATGTATGTGAAATGTGATTTTATTTCAAAGAATCATTCTAAAAATGTCTGGGAATGTCCAAACAAGCCCCACCATTCCAAATGAATCTTCCTGTGAGAGAAACCTTTCAGCCTCCTTATAAATTAGATTGCTTTTTAGGCATTTGTCTTCTATTCAGAAGAAAAAGAGAATCAAACACAGACATTGTTCTCACAGGTTTAATCCTCATATTTCTATGATTTTGTGGAAAGGGGTTTTAAAAAAAAAGTCAAGAAGATGCTAGGTAAACCCAGTAGTTTACAACCTGTTAAAATTCAGGGTGTGAGTTATGTGTGTCCTGGGCTTCTCCACATGCTCGCTGGAGGTGACCTTCCACAGTGTTTCATTTGACTGCACTGCACAATTTCATGGTGGTATCTCAGCTTCAGGAAGGAAAAACAGATCAAGCCTGACATTTTCCATTCGCAGCTGAACCGGTTAATCATAGAGTGGAGGGCACTGAAGGGTAAGCTAATCAGAAAGGCCCAGAAAACAGTGCTCGGCGGCATCTATTAGGTTAGTTCAGATTGCATTGATCGGTGACATCAAAGACCGAGATTTCCTATGACCCATTTGCACAAAGGTGTCCACTTTGAAAAAGGGCAGGTAGTGGAAAAAAGGTGACTTGTAGAGCAGAAATATCACCCAAAGGAGCTCTCAAAAGTGGGAAAATACTTACCTCTCCGTGAGGCTTCAAAACTATCAAAAAGGTTAATTCTCTGGATGTCGTAGGTTAATGTGATGTTAGGCATCAGGGTTCGGTTTCTGTTAATGCTGGTGACTGCGAACTTGAAAGCTAATTCTTCAACATTAACAGGTTCATTTTCCACAGTTTCAAAAATCCCTCCTGCAGAAGCAAAAGAGATGTATGAGAAGCGCTAGTCACATGATTCACACGTAATTTTAAAAAAGAGGAATGTAAACTATACGAACAAAAGACCCCAAATGGAGGTCTTAAATGGAGGGATATTTGGAACAAATCCCAATCAGTGCTAAAAGTTAAGTTTATTAGCATGTGTCACATGCAAACAAAGAGGTCTAATGGCATATGTATGCTTAAGATTTTAAATCCAATGTCGTACTTTACAATATCTCTCTGATGATCAAGGTATTATATAAAATACTTAGTAGCATGAAAGTATAACCGATAATATGGTAAAGAGTGATTTTCTGTGGGCTGGACAAGAATCACACTGTGCTTGACCTAAACATAATTTAAGCTGTATTCTGGTGGGACCATCCTTCTTCAGAATGAAGATCTTTCTATTCAGAAGCAGACATTCTGAACTCTAAAGGGATCATGCTGAGAGTAGAGTATGGTCAAAATGGGACATACGTACTCATAGATTTTTCAGAATAAAACATCTTTTGTGTGCTTTGTGTGGCTCAGAATTCTAGGGTCATATTCTAATACTTTCTAAAGTGCATGGGAAGAGTCAAAGAGAAAGAATAGAATAGAATAGAAAGAAAAGAGTTCTTTCTTTCTCCTTCCTTCCTTCCTTCCTTCCTTCCTTCCTTCCTT